TGCCCTGATGTCAAAATTTGGAAGCAGGGCCCGGCGTTCCTGAAAGAGATAAACATTGATTATAAAAGAGAGGTTATGGATACAACAATTGAAGAAAGAAAGCTAAAATGTCACACTACTACAAGCAATAAAACAGAGAGTAGTATACTTACCAAGTATTCGTCTTTAACACGACTTACCAGAGTTGTAGCTTACTGTAGAAGGTTTTTGTCTCCAAAATCAACAGGTACCTTAAACGCTGCAGAGCTGGAACAAGCGTTGAAAACCTGTATTAAAATGTGTCAACGGTATCATTTCCAGGAAGAGATAGATAATTTAAAGAAACATGGCAAGGTTAACAAGAAAAGTAGACTCACCTCGTTGAATCCCTTTCTTGATTCAGACAACATCTTGAGAGTCGGTGGCCGTTTGCAAAAGGCTACACTGGAAAATGACACGAAGCATCCCATATTGATTCCTCAAGGTTCGCACTTCACGAAATTATTGATAGTCGACGCACATCAGAAATTGTTGCATGGTGGCCCTCAATTAACGGCCAACTATCTCAGATCCAAATATTGGATCATCAATGCAAAGAGCCTCATTCGGCAGTGCGTCTGGAAGTGCGTAGTTTGCGCTCGTCATTCCGCAAGGTCTAGACAACAGATGATGGGGCAATTACCGGAGGCGCGAGTAACACCTAGCCGTCCTTTCTTACGAAGTGGAGTGGATTATGCCGGTCCCATCAGCATTCGTCCTTCCAAGGGTCGTGGTTATCACTCCACGAAGGGCTACATCTGTTTGTTTGTCTGCATGGCTACGAAAGCTATTCACCTTGAAGTAGTCAGCGATATGACATCTCAAGCCTTCTTAGCGGCATTTAAGCGCTTCGTAGCCAGGCGAGGACATGTAGCAGAAATCTGGAGTGATAACGGGACCACGTTCATTGGTAGTGCGAAGGAATTGAATGTGTTATTCAATGTTGAAAGATCTGGCCTAGCAAGTGAAATTGCCGATTGGTGTGCTACAAACGGTACAGAGTGGCACTTTATACCTCCACATTCTCCAAATTTTGGAGGATTGTGGGAGGCAGGAGTGAAGTCTACCAAACACCATCTCCGGAGAATAGTAGGTAATAGCACACTGACGTTCGAAGAGATGACCACCCTTTTGGCTCAGATTGAAGCCTGTTTAAATTCAAGGCCCATCTCCCAGTTACCGACATACCCGGATGATCCATACCCTCTGACCCCTGGTCATTTTTTAATAGGAGAACCACTAGTTGTGGTCCCTGATAGGAACTATGAGGACTCAAATGTCTCCTCATTGAAGAGGTGGCATCTTATGCAGCGCATGCTTCAAGACTTTTGGCGTAGATGGTCACAGGAGTATCTTAATCAGTTACAACATCGGTACAAATGGACAGATCAGGTTTCGGAACCCAAAGTAGGCGATGTTGTGCTTATTCGTGAAGATGATCTTCCACCGGCAAAGTGGCTTTTTGGCGTTATCGATAAGAAGCATACTGGTTTGGACAACCTTACGAGGGTTGTTAGCGTAAGATGCAAGGACAGCGTCATAAAGCGACCATTGTCAAAATTAGTAATATTACCTGTTACTTAATTATTAAATTTAATATTTTTATTATACAGTCCACTAGAATAATTGCTATCATTGTAATCATATGTTTTGTTTGTGTTTAGTTTTAATTTTTTATCTTTCTCGATTTTATTTATGTTGCAATGTCAGCGTACAATTGTTTTACTATGTTTATGTTTGTTATTTCTTTAGTTATTCATTAAGTTTGTTCTTGTATATATTTTCGTTTCGGCATGGTGGGCGGACAGTTGCTATTATTTAATTAGATTTTGCGCCCGATTATGGAGCATTGTACAATTGCCTGTAATTTTGTAAATGTCTCAAATTTTTGTATATTTGTGATGGACATGCTGTCCATGGTGGGCGGTATGTTAATGCGTTGTAAAGCAAATTGTCAAGAAATTATAGTTGTATTACTCATCACTAGATGGCGCTGTACCGTTTAAGTGCCCACTATAGGTTTGCCTCGTTGTTATGATGCGCTTGCGACAAGCGACGAATAAAGTTGGCTCATTCACCCGATACTGAAGTTTCATTTTACCGCTTCGGTCTGTTCGGGGTTTTTTGGGATTCTGTACACCACGGGAACCGTAATTATTCCCGGGATAAAAAGTAGCCTATGTGTTCTTCCAGATTCTACTCGAAACCTGTGCCAAATTTCATGGACATCCGTTCAGCCGTTTAGGCTACAAATGCTAACAAACATCCATCCATCTCAACTTTCGCATTTATAATAATAAGTTTAATGCATGATCTGCCGATAAATATGATTGTGAATTTATATTACTACACTTGTAGCACGAATTTTTTGGTTGACAATGAACTTGCTTGATGGATCTGTGACGCTGTAAGACAGATAATAAGTAACCAAAATTTGAAACATTAATGAAAGTCTGTCTTTAAAATGTTATAAATAAAATTTCCATGCTTTACTAAAATATTTTACAACGACTTTTCACAAGAAAATTCTCTGAATAAATAAGGAATCATTTCAGATAACGAAAACAAATTGAATCGAATGACTTAATATTGACTTAATTCAACTTTTCCGATTCTGTTTGCATTTGAAAATTCGTTGTACAATGTTTGGATTCATTTTAAGTCGAGTTTTTTTTGTTTTCTTTTATTATTAGAAAAATTAAATTTTTACATTTTCTTATGACTATTAATGGATAATACAATATTTAGTATAGAAATGTTGTTCTGTTGTTTTTCTTCCCTTGATAATACTGTTACTATTCTCTAACTAAATGTATTTCTTTTCAATATTCTACAACTTGGAAGTCACAAAGTATTAAGACCTTGACTAAACCGATAAGAGGTCGTAGCGTCGATGTTAAAATAAAAATGCTTTTGAAACATCGAAAACCGGATTTATTTCAGATCGACCGTTTACTTGATTAAAATGTATGACGAATTACAATAGATTTACATAATCGTATTTAAAAAGTTACATTTGTATGTTTATATAGAAATTTGTTACAGCAACAAGCTAGACAAGATAGGTTCAATTCAGGGATCCCGTTATTTTATCGTCATATCAATCTTCAATCCAAGGCATTAACATCTCGACTCCATACATTTTAGGTAACGTAAGCCAGAATCAAAACACAGAAGGAATTAAATATAAACAAAATTCCAGCTGACATTCTACGCTCACATGAAATCCCAACTTCATACTACTTAAGCCGTAAAGCGCTTTATAGAATCACTCGCGAAGTTTGAACACGGGACTAACTTCGAACGGATTATTCCGGACGGTATTCCAACGTCATTGGCCATCAAAACAAGCAAACGCCATCTGAATGCACTGACTTAGATGAATCATCACAAACCATTAAACATAGGTTTACTTTCATCTTAGACCCACCAGGACAGCAGTCACGGTTGAGATATACTTCCGAAAAGTTTGCGGCATTACGTTAATTGATTGAAGCTGCCGTTGTTTATTGCTTTCAGTTGGTCTACTTTTTTTTACAATAAAAGGGGGCAAACCAGCGGCGAGAACACTGAGGTGGTCAACGACATCCCTGGACATCCGCAACATCAAAGGAACTACAGATGAGTTGCCGGCCTTTGAGGAAATGATATGCTCGCTTCTTGAAGGACCCTAAGTTGTATTGGCTTGAAATTACCTCCGAGGAGAAACTGTTCCACAATACGGCTGTGCGAGGCTACTGCAGCCTTTATTCTGACCATGTAATAAAGTTAGATTCTGTATTTACTGCGACATGAAAGGACCGCTTGACCAGTGCAACACCACACAGGCGTATGAAAGTTTTCTAAAAATCAGTAAAAATATCGCTTGAAAAGCCATGGCCAAAATGTGTTTTTTTTTATCAAAAGACAAACAAGCAAACGGCCACTTTATTTCTAGGAAATAGCGAAACGACTGCTGTCCATACACAAGCAAGCCAATGTGTTGCTTTGCCTTTGATCTATGGAAAAGAGGATGCAGCTAAAATATCTCTGCGTAAATATATAATTTACAGTGTATATTTAGCACTGGAGCTATAAGTAAACACATATAAAATGATTGACAAAGCTCTCATACATATCGTAGAAAATCCTCACAGAAACATGATATGGGTTATAAAAGGGACTCTAGTCCAATCACACTTGACGCACAAAGAATTATTTGTCAAGAACCATCATATTCACGTATTTAGGAAGTTATTGTGTTTCTTTTTGACAATATACATGATAGTGAAGCATTGAACCAGTTAGTTTAATAATTAATAAAAAAAACATAACTGTATAGACATGAATAGAAATCGAAACACGATTCATTCTACAAAATGCAGTAATCGATTTTGTGTAAAATAAATCGTGAAATGAAACATAAACATCAATTAAATAGGAAAAGATCTCGCTATCTCAGATCATTCAGACGGAAAGAAAGGGACGACAGTTCTAGAAAAAATTAATACAATTCAATTTAAATTCAGCGTATGTTATAAAGTTATATAGATGTTCAGTTACGAGTGTATTTCGTAACCGTTGCTTCGCGCTCCAAATAATTAAACGCCGCATTGTGAGCGATACGCCTTCGTGCTTCTGACACGCTAAAGCCTGCTTTCCATTGTCACGTACTGCTATAGTCAGACGAAACTTATCTGGCCTAATGATTGTGATAACGCAGTTACTTCTATCAGAAAAATAAACTTACTTAGCGTAGAAAATGATAAATATAATATCAAAAGACAGGATAGAAACATCTTCTGGCTATTTAGTGTAGACAAGCTTATACTAATATTATAAAGATTTGTATTTTTGTATTTTTATACGTATTGAAATAACTTAAAAACTACTGGCCGTTTTCTAAATTTTTTACACCGTTAGAAAGGTCATTTATCTGTGAGTAGCATAGGCTATATGTTTTATTTATTTTTAAATTTTACGCAGATGAAGTCGCGAGCAACAGTTAGTATAGCGTAAACCTGTAATGCCAATTATAGTTTTATATTCAAGTAAACATTCAGTTATTTATTTCATATTAAAAGTATTTTTATTTTAATTAATTTGCAAAATGGAACTCGTTGTGACACAAGCCTTAGACAAAGGTTGTCTAGCAGGAATCCTACATTCAGGACATAAGTTGAGTGTTGTCTAAAGCAGAGTCGAGCTTTGGCGAAGCAAGCGTTAATCCGTATGTTTTGTTGTGCTGATTTATCGCGCATCTGTGTGCATCGCTAAGTTAAATTTACGCTTAGCTTACAAGCATTGAACTTCGCTAAAGCCTGGACACACATTACTTAGATGGTAATCTATTGTTAACATGGTAACACACGGGACATCAAACATATAGCATCATTCAAATATGGAAAACATTAAGGTTATGTTTAAGTAATTTGTAAAAAACATTCCTCTTTAATGTATTAGTTTACATAAGTGCATTCTTATTCGTCGTTAGTTCGATTGTAAAAAATAATAT